CTAGTAGAGTTCAAGGTAACTGTTATTGAGACTATACACTTTCACTTTTATGATTTCTTAAAGCCAAAAGCATTTTAAATTAATTATCTGTAATACATGCATTATTTGGTGTAACTATGGAATTATGAATGGCTGAACCTGTTCAAACAACCCTTGCTTTAAAATAGCTGTAATTACAATGGTCAAGCTATAAAAAGGAGTGCTACCTATGTGTACACAACACAGACAACTAATCTAATTCTTGTCACAGAAGAGGTTCTATGGCTTAGAGCAGACAGCTCAGGATGAGCACCCAGAGTAACATTTCCATTATATGAACAGCCAGTGCTGGAGTGATTTAAAAAAACCCTTGATGCATTGCCTGAAGTCTGTAATTATTAATTAAAGTTAATAAATAAAATTAGTAAATCCACACATTTATGCAAAGAGATTTCCTCTAAACACCAAGAAACTACTCCTGCTCTTCACACTATTTCTGATACAAGCCAGGATGCCATTGGCCTTCTTGGCCGCAAGGGCACATTGCTGGCTCATGGTCATCTTGCTGTCCCCCAACCCCCCCGGGTCCTTTTCTGCCTGGCAGCTTTCCAGACACTCGTCCCCAAGCCTGCAGCGCTGCATAGGGTTATTGCGACCAAAGTGCAGAACCCAGCACTTGGCCTTGTGGAACCTCATGCAGTTGACCTCAGCCTGTCCAGGTCCCTCTGCAAAGTCATCCTATGCTCAAGCAGATCAATGCTCCTGCCCAGTTTGGTGTCATCTGCAAACTTGCTGAGGGAGCACTCAATCCCCTCATCCAGATCATCCATAAAGATGTTAAACAGGACTGGCCCCAAAACCGAGCCCTGGGGAACACCGCTTGTGACTGGTCACCAACTGGATTTAGCTGCATTCACCACAACTCTCTGTGCTCGGCCATCCAGCCAGTTTTTAACCCAGCAAAGCGTATGCCTGTCCAAGCCATGCCCAGCCAGCTTCTCCAGGAGGATGCTGTGGGAGACGGTGTCAAAGGCCTTACTAAAGTCCAGGTAGACAACATCCACAGCCTTCCTCTCTTTCACTAGCTGTGTCACCTGATCATAGAAGGAGATCAGGTTGGTCAGGCAGGACCTGCCTTTCATGATCAGGCTGGCTTGGCCTGATCCCCTGGTTGTCTTGCTCTTGCTATGTGAGTGCACTCAAGATGAACTGCTCCATAATCTTCCCTGGTATCAAGGTCAGGCTGTCAGGCCTGTAGTTGCTTGGATCTTCTTTCCAACCTTTCTTGCAGATGGGCACCACATTGGCAAGCTTCCAGTCATCTGGGACTTCCCCAGTTAACCAGGACTGCTGATAAATGATGGAGAGTGGTTTTGTTAGCTCTTCTACCAGCTCCCTCAGTACTCGCAGATGGATCCCACCTGGTCCCATAGACACGTGTGTGTCCAGGTGGCATAGCAGGTCATTAACTGCTTCCTCTTGGATTATAGGAGTTTTATTCTGTTCTCTGTGTCTTCCAGCTCAGGGACCTGAATACCTTGAGGATAGCTGGTCTTACTATGAAAGACTGAGGCAAAGGAGGCGTTAAGTACCTCAGCCTTTTCCTTGTCAATGGTGGCAGTGTTCCCCACCTCATCCACTAAGGGATGGAGATTCTCCTTGGCTCTCTTTTTGTTGTTAATGTACTTGTAAAAGCATTTTTTGTTATATTTTATGACAGTGGCCAGATAGAGCTTTTAGCTGGGCTTTCGCTTTTCTAATTTTCCCTCTGCATGACATGACAAGATCTCTGCACTCTTCTTGTGTTGTCTGCTCCTTCTTTCAAAAGTGATATACTCTTCTTTTTTTCCTAAGTTCAAGCCAAAGCTCTCTGTTCAGCCAAGCCAGTCATCTTATGGCACATGGGGACAGTCTGCTCCTGTGCCTTTAAGACTTCCTTCTTAAAGGAAGTCCACCCTTCCTGGACCCCTCTGCCCTTCGGGGCTGTCTCCCAAGGGACTCTCTCTACCAGTGTCCTGAACAGGCCAAAGTCTGCCCTCCAGAAGTCCATGGTGGTGGTTTTGCTAACCCCTCTCCTTACGACACCAAGAATCGAGAACTCTATCATTTCATGCTCGCTAAACCCAAGCTGGCCTCCAGCCACCATATCTCCCACCAGTTCTCCTCTGTTTGTGAACAGCAAGTCAAGTGAGACAGCTCCCATGGTAGGCTCACTTACCAGCTGCATCAGGAAATTCTCTTCCACGCACTCCAGGGACCTTCTAGACTGTTTCCTCTCTGCTCTGTTGTATTCCCAGCAGACACCTGCAAAGCTGAAGTCTCCCACAAGAAGAAGGGCTAGTGATTGTGGTAAGTTTCCTAGCTGCTTGTAGAATACTTCATCTGCCACTTCATCCTGGTTGAGTAGTCTATAACAGACTCCCAGAAGGATATCAGCCTCGTTAGCCTTCCCCTCATCCTTATGCATAAGCACTCAACCTTGTCATCACAATCATTGAGCTCTACACAGTCAAAACACTCTCTAACATACAAAGCCACCCCACCACCTCTCCTTCCTTCCCTATCCTTACTGAAGAACTTGTAGCCACCCACTGCAGCACTCCAGTTGTGAGAGTCATCCCACCATGTTTTTGTGATGGCAGCTAGGTCAGAGCTATCCTGCTGCGTGATGGTTTTCAACTCCTCCTGTTTATTGTCCATACTGGGTGCACTGGCATAGATGCACTTGAGTTGGGTTATCAGTTTCACCCCAAACACTGTCATGCTACCCCTTGTCTCATCTCTAGTGAGCCTGGTATTATCCCTTTCCCCCTTCAAACTTAGTTTAAAGACTTATTGATGAGCCTTGCCATCTTCTGTGCAAGGATCCTTTTATCCCTTTGAGAAAGTTGAATTCCATTGGTCTCCAGAAGGTTTGGTGCTGTGTAAACCTCCTTAACTACAAAAAAACCCCAAAATTCCACCGATGGCACCATCCTCTGAGCCATGTGTTGATCTGGTGTGTTTTCTGGTTCCTACCAGTATTCTTCCCTACCACTGAAGGGATTGAGGAAACACTGCCTGTGCTCCCGATCCTTCCACCAGTCACCCCAGTGCTCTGAAGTCCCTCTTGATTGCCTTTGCTGCTCAACCTCATCGCTACCAACCTCAACAACTAACAGCAGATAATAATCAGAGGGGTGTACCAGACCAGGGAGTTTCCGGGTAACACCTCTAACCCGGGACCCAGGGAGACAGCAGACTTCCCTGTGGGATGGATCCGGTCAGCATATTGGCCCCTGACACACTGTGGATCTATCTGCAATAAGAAAAAAGAATGTGATCTTCAAGAAAACAAAACACCTAGCTGAAAATATAAGTAATCAAATAGTAGAATTATCTCTTTGCCCAGACACTGTTTCGTATTTTGATATTGTCATGTTAGAGCTGGCATATACTCATTAGTGAAAGCATTCGGCTCAGAATTCATGTAATGACTGGAACTTGGCAAAGTCCCTGAAGCATGAGATGGATTGCTTGTGTGTGTCTTTCTACCCTATAGGGAAACAAGCTTTACAGGAAATCTGCATGTTTTCTTTATGATGCCATTTGAAAGTTTTTGGTGTGAAGGAAGTAGCTGCAATACAGAGCTGTACTGTGAGACTCGAAGTTAGGATAATTTGAATTTGAACTGCAGCAACACCTTTGCCTTGACAGAGATATAGATAAATATATAGATTCCATTTTATTGCGTATGCTTGTCAGTCACAAAAGACCACTTGTGGTGCAGTGGTATTAAAACTAATGAGCTAGCTATTGAGTGTGTACAATATACCATTCCTTTTTATACAGTAATGTTTTGACAGCTTGCTCTCAAACCAACTTGGGAGATTACTGGTGTGAACTGTGCCAGTTGCAGAGATAGAAGGCTGTGAAGTATATGAAATGTTAATGTGACAATTTTATTAAATTTACAGGCTCTTAAAATAGATCCAACAAATACTAAAGCTCTCTACAGACGGGCTCAAGGATGGCAGGGAATAAAAGATCTCGATCAGGCATTGGTAATGACCACAATATTTAATTTTTTTTTAATCTAAACATTTAACTTGAACATTAATTTATATTTCTTTTTCATTTAAGGCTGATCTTAAAAGGGCTCATGAAATAGCCCCTGAAGACAAAGGTAAAATAAAGCTGTTTTCTTTACAGATTCTTTAAGAATGTAACAAAGTAACCAGGGTAGTATTTAACATGACTTTGTACCAGTGTGATGCCCAAGATGCTGGCTTCTAACAGCTTAAACACTGATGCATTGAGCACAGAGCCCACTGAGGTAGAACTGTTTCTATACAGCAGTGATGTTTCAGGTGCACGCAGTAACCTGCCTATGTAGGTCAACCAGCACACCTCTCGAACCATCTCCCTCTCTCACAGGGGCCTTACTAGCTTTCTTAATTTCCTGGTCTAATTGGATAAAATTTTTAGCTCATAAATTCTGTGATGACACCAATACTATGCTTGCTGCACCCTCCTCTATCTGATTACTTTACCAGGTGAAACAAAATAAGGGACAAGGATTTTGTGCTGCTAGTATCTGACCTAATAGAGGATTAAATGCAGTTCTGTTACACAAAATAATTGGGTAATTTGCAGCAGTGTGACCTGGTCTTGACATATGAGACCTAATGTAAAGAGGTTACTATAACTGTTATCATGGTTTTTCTTTTTAAGCAGCTATCCAGACGGAAACACTCAGAATCAGACAGAAGATAAAAGACCAAAAGGAGAAAGAGAAGGCAGCTTATGCTAAAATGTTTGCTTGATTTTTTTTCCTAAACTTAAATCTATGCACTAACTGATGCAAAACAGTAAGTGGAGCTGCTTCTTTCACTTGCCCTGTACTGCAGTTTTCAGTGTTTGCAATAAAGACAAACTGTTCAAAGGTGAAGTGTTTTGGTTTTTTTAAGCTGTAATAACTTGTGTTTTGCGATTCAGATGTGTAAATCAGTAGTGGTTGTGTTGTTGTAGCTTAATAGTGCTATCGTAAGACCCAAAGTTCCTCTGTCAGTCCCGATAAGAGCTTTCTTCTACTTGCCACACAACTCGTGGGAAGAAGTTCTATTTAAATAAGGCTATGATTTAACCAGAAGGCACTAACTTCCATATAATGCAAGAGTCATACCTAAAATTTAGCCTCAAATTTTTTTAACATTCAAGTCAGTGCTGTACTTTAATTACAATGCAGCATAAAATACTCCCAACTTATTTTCTGGTGATCAGAAATCACTGAATAGATGTCCTGTCAGTTTACATCCCATTATAAGCTGGTCCTCCTCCACCTTCAGGCACTACCCAGTTAATGTTCTGACTTGGGTCTTTAATATCGCATGTTTTGCAGTGGACACAGTTCTGAGCATTTATCTGCAGTCTTGATCCTTCTCCTGTTTCCAGAGGAATATACTCATAAACTCCTGCAAAGAACAAAAGAGAGCTATCATTTCACTGAACAGTTTCCCCCTGCATGTATGCTCTGCTACTTCCCAGCAAAGGGTGAGTGTCATGAGGATGGAGCCAGGCTCTTCTCGGTGACAAACGATAAGACAAGGGGTAATGGACACAAACTGGAACACAGGAGGTTCCACTTAAATTTGGAGAAGAAACTTCTTCTTAGTGAGGGTGACAGAGCACTGGATCAGGCTGCCCAGACAGGTTGTGGAGTCTCCTTCTCTGGAGACATTCAAAACCCGCCTGGACGCCTTCCTGTGTAACCTCATCTAGGTGTTCCTGCTCCGGCAGGGGGATTGGACTAGATGATCTTTTGAGGTCCCTTCCAATCCCTAACGTTCTGTGATTCTGTGATTCTGCAAAGGGTAACAAAGGAAGTACACTACTGGTGTAATTGAACTGCCTTCTTCCATGTTTACTAATTATTTCACCATGAAAGTACTGTTAACACAATGTATTTTAAGACCTGCACTTGAACCCTTTGCTAGGAGGAAGATTGGGATAGAACGCCTGAAGTAAGTAGTAGGCCAGATAGTCTCTTCCTGAAGTACTTACTTGCAAAAGTAAAAAGTAAAAGTACTTCATCTTGCAAAAACAGCTCAGACACACATTTTTTATTACCTACCTGCTGGACAAAATCTTTGTTCCGGTCCATCGAATACAGCCAAATTCCTGCTCACAGGGATGCCATCATCTTTGAGAGTTAAATGAGCAGGCTGGTCATGTTCATGGTTTGTACCACTTAAAGCCACAGACGACAGGAGATCAAAACTGATTTTCCCATCAGGCTTTGGGTATTCAATAGGCATGCAGTCTTTGGCTGGCTTGAGCTGAGCAAAATCTGGTCCTAAATACATTTTTAATAAATAAGTTTCAGTATAGAATTACTGTAATTTGCAGTTACTCAAGAACAATTTAATTAAGCTATTTTAACTTCTTTTGTCATCAGAATGAAGTATTTCATAAAAGCCTTTTTGATGAGAGAAAAATCTACTAAGTAGAAGAGTACTTTAAGATTTTCATTTATGTTGTATGTTAGGTAACAGGAAAAAGTCTGCTTCACTGCCTTATCATCAATTTTTTTTCTACATTTTAAGGCCTTGCCACTTGCCCAGATGTGCCCTAGCTTCAACTAAGACCACAGAAGACTGACATATAATTGTAGTATCTTATTTCAGGAGACAATGAAATCACCTGGATGTTTTAATGTCCATGGTTCCATTCCTCTCAGTAGCCAATAAAATATGCCTGTGTAAATCATTCCTCCATACACACCAAGTATGCTGTGGCATGATGGTCGGATGTTTCTAACTGCATACAGCTCTTTCCAGACCCAGGACTTTTTCAGGTTCTCTTCATATTCTTGCACATCAAGTCCTAAGGCAGTAATATTACTTGTTAGGTACCTACAGCACATAAAGACTATCCTTGACATAAAAAAATAATTGCAATGAAGGCAGCAAAATGAGATTTTCGTAATAGTAAGCTAGGAATATACTAGACAATGTCTTTCAGCCTCTTGAAGAGATCTGTTTCGTTGGCAGCTACCTGCAGATCTCTACTGCTCCTTTTAGACTCTACTAAATGACCCACAAGCAGCAATAAATTGGCTCAAACCTCAGCAAAATATAAAGATAACCAGCCAGGTGGCTATATTGGCATCTCTGTGGGAAAACGGCTACTCACTCATAGAATCCAGGAAAAAAAAAAAGTGCTGTACTTAGGAAACCTAAGCTTACTTTTCAGATGCTTTTTAGAGGCATGTTTTTCTTCTAGCTGTAGGACCAATACTTAAGAATAACTAAGCAAAACTTTATTAATTTCATTCTCAAATAATTTGACAGTATATATAGTAAATAAACAATAGACAGATTTTTAAATCACCACACTAATTTCATTATTTATTTGCATTTCCAGCTAACTCCTTCAGATACATTTAGTTACCGCTACGCTGTTGGTGATTCTAATTGAACACGAGGTAATTAGAAATCAAAATACAGTGATCTTACCTATTGTCTTTGATTGGAGATTTTCACTGATTAATTGGCTAAAGATGGCTTCTGAAGCCAACATGCCACTTTTCATGGCGGTATGCGTCCCTTTGATCTTAGGAACATTCATGAGTCCAGGACTACAACCAATTAATAATCCACCCGGGAAGGTGAGTTTGGGTATTGACTGAAGAAGAAACAAAGGAAAGTGGTTTGTTTGGTTTTGTTTTTCTTTTCAAAATGAAAATAAGATTCTGGAAATGTAACTGGCATGAGGCTTGAGTGTCCTTTACATTTTTAGACTTGCATGTGCAATATAAACTCTATAAAAATATACCAGAGTTACTCCACTTAATCAAAGAATTTTGGCATACAGACATTGTACCGGGGCTATGTATAACATCATGACCAGACAACATTTTCCTTATATCCCTCTGTCCAGTTGCTTTTTCTGCAGCAAGACTGTGGTAATGTCACCCACTGATACTCGTTTCCTCCTT